AAAAAAAAAAAAAAAACCAAAAAAAGAAAAGAAAGTAAACGTGGTAGACACCGAGCGACAATGTAGTAAATTAAATATTATTAATTAAAAATAGAGTCATGGGACCTAAAAAATAATATATAACACAATAAAATTAGAATATTATAATTTTATTTCAATATATACCACTGTTCTCTATAAATTTGCTTTAAAAAAGGAAAAATGATCGTAATATTATAAGGATTATAACAAAACTTATCCGCTGAACATTATATATAGCGAAGCAATCAAACAATAAGAGATCCCCCATAGCATAGAATCGCAGTAAAACTATTTAAAAATCTGTCCTTTCAATTCAAATGGCCACCGAAGGAAGGAAGAACCGCCGCTATCTAGGCGGAGCAGAGAGAGGAAATCCGAATCCGATCGCCGATAATGATCAATTTGAACTCGATGAAGCTGAAGTAATCTGGAGTAATAATGAAAATGCTCCATCTCACGTCAAAAAATCAATTTCAGGTCGTGTTAGAAAGTCTGTAAGAGACGGCAACCGCGTTGATGAAACTGGTGGAAAATCGTTGCCGGTGAACATACCGGAATGGTCGAAGAATGAGTACAAAAATCGTGGCGGAGATTACCAGGAGGATGCCGGAGAAGATGAAGATGACTATGGTGTTCCGCCTCACGAGTATTTAGCGAGGACGAGAGGTGCTTCGTTATCTGTTCACGAAGGAGTTGGAAGAACATTGAAGGGAAGAGATTTGAGGAAGGTGAGGAATGCTGTATGGAAGCAAACTGGATTTGAAGATTAGCGTAGATTTTCATTTGATACTCTGGGAAAAAAACTTAAAACATTGGGAACTTCTCTTTAATCTTTTAATTAACTGAATATATATATTTTCTTCTTTATTTTAGTATATCATAGTGCAATTAATCGAAAGAAATTTATAAATATGGTATATGGTATATATATCCTGCAATTTCATTATTGCTTTCGCACGAAAATCTTCCACATAACAACCAAATGGCGAGAGTTCAAACACTCGACATTTGGTGAACGTCCTTTGCAATGCTCCTGCTTTTTTTCTTGTCGTAAGTCATTTAAAGAGTGAAAATAGCCATTGAAGTTATTCACAATAGCCAACTTGATCTCTTCACCAGGGATCTTTAAGAAAGTTGTCGACCTATTTTTTTGGTCCATGTTTAGGTTAGGGGTATTAAGTTGAGCGAGCTGAGTCAACGAACAGTAAATTTCTTGTGAAAACCGTTTATCAACTTCGATTAAGCAAACTGACTCGCTTGATAGATCAAGCTAAGTCCAAAGGTATACGAGTAATTTGACTCGACCTATTTAGCACCCCTAATTAAGGCTAATTCATTTTCAGAACATAAATTTCAGTTGAAAACTAGGGGCTTGGGTGGATATATGTGAATTATTATTCTATCGGTAGGTAAGGAAACAAGGGGCTATCATAATTGATAACACGATCCGTTGAAGTAAAATGCTCATATCTGCCTATGATTTATTCCCTCTTTTTCTTTGTACATTTTCTTTGTTAATTTGGATAAAAAGTGGAAGTAATATTCTCCTATATAATTCAACTTTGTGTGTCAAACATGCAATTATTTAATTTCAAAAGTAAAAGATATGATCAAGTTGAATATACAAATACATCGACTACAAAGAATATAAATTATAAATAAATAATTATAATTGCAGATCTATTTTATTTCAAAATAAGTGTACGCATACGCCGACTAATCACATACTTCAAATTATACGAACTAATCTTTTACCAAATTTATCATTAATTCACTACTATGATGATCAAACTCGTACTCTACCTCTCCAAATAATAAAATTTCACCGTTTATTATAAGAGTAATGCTATTCATCCCCACTGAGATTGCAAACACTGTTTATGTAGCATTAAATGATATGTGAAATTCAAATTTCATTTAACCTATCATTTAGAGCCATCTGAACTGTGTTTGTAATCCCATTGGGAATGAATAACATTACTCTTATTATAATCCAAGCAGAAAGACTATGGAACATCCGAGGAGGAGATCCTGAAATGCACGTAACTCAAATTTTCGGCCTTCTGCTCTACGCTACGAATTTTGGTGACTTCCAATTTGACTTATGGTAACTTAATTATTAGTGTAATTGGTAATTATAATTGTCATGTTAAATCAAATCACCCATCAAGAAACAAGATGCGCAAACTGATTTCATGTGCGGTTTTCGTTTATGGAAATGTTTCTTGCACACCATCGATTCATAGCCACGAAAAGTGTTAAATCGTTTAGTCATTTGTGTCATTTTATGAAGTTAGGTTTTGTTTTTCAACTAGAACTGATGTTTAGAAGTTAAGAGTGTAACATTTTTTTCGTGAGGGCTATGTGATAATTTAATGAAGATTTGGACAGCTTCTGTCATTAAGAACTGATTGTTCGAATACAATAAAAAGTTAAAAAGGAATTGTTACTCGAACAATAATCTAATGAAGGAACAATAATGCTATTTACCATGTCTTTTTGTTCATAAAGAAGTAATGAACTGATTTATTATCAATAATAGCACCAAATAATTTAGATGTACTCCCTCCATCGTAATTATATAGTCTGAGTTTCTTTTTTCTATTGTCCCAAATATATAGACATGTTTCCTTTTTCTATTGTCTCAAATATATAGACATGTTTCCTAATATAGAATATTTTGTTGTATTTTTTTACCAATATACCCTTATTAAATTTTCCTCACTTAATATGTTAATTTCTTGAAATCATTCAAATACACATTTCTCACTTCTTGGAAATATGGAACAACTATCATCATATTACATCATTCAAGTTCTTTATTAATTACAACAATAGTTTAGTTTTACATACTGAAAATTAAGAGTAATCCCTTTTGTACACTTTTTTATACATTAACTTTGACGCTCCTTTTACAAAAGAATGTGGGCCCATGATTTTTTAAATTGCGGACCCCCCACCTTTGTGAGAGGAACGTCATGCATGATGTATACCAAATAGTGTACATCAAGCATGACTCGAAAATTAAATAGGGGTAAATTAGGAAAGATCTTGACAAAAATTAATTTTTCAATGACATTAAATAAGTTTTCTTAATCCGTGTGAAAAACTAAACAAACCTAAATAATTGGGATGGAGGGAGTAATTTATAATTCGTCACTTGAGGTTTCACGATCAGAATATAGAATTAACAAAAAAAAAAATTAAAACAAAATAACAGGATAGTTTAACAAATTTATAATGATCAAGATTCAATTTTCGACCACACATTTTAATGAATTCGTAAATATTATTATTCACTAGTCTACAACGTATTTCTATCTATTTATACACTAAGGACACATTAGGCGTGCCTTATTAGTCTGCATAAGGATTAAAATAATTATATCGAATCCTTATCTCGTGTTTGGTACAATTAGTACCCGAATTAAATTAATTGGAGTGTTTGTCCTCTTTTTAACCATTTAAAAGTCAATTGCCATCTGGGGTACATTTATGCCGTGTTATTAATTCACCGAATTTATGAATTAAGAAAATATTAGTTAAATTGAATTATATAAATTTACTTACAAGTAAATCGGAGCTAAGAAATTTACTTATAAGTAAAAATATAACCAACCCCCTACCTGAACTCCATAACAATAATAACCACAAACCAAGCATTTTTCCAAATATACAGGTCCGTTTGATAACAACGAGTTCCATGAAAATGTTACATTCAAGGAAAACGAATTTCACTTCCACTTTGACTGTTTGATTGTAACGTGAAACTAGAAATTGAATTCCAAAATACAACTATTTTAAACTATATTTTCTTTGTTTTCATGGAAAACGAATTCCTATGAGTTTGGTGAGTTTTTATTTTCCAACTAATATGAAATTGAAATTTCTTCCCACATTTGCCTATCAAACGGACCCTACATGAATTCTTTTCCGTCAATCCACAATGCTAGGTATGGAAGATTTTCTGAATCGGCCCCACACCCACCTATTGGCATAAATTCATGTGACTTTGGCGTGTGCTTTGGTCTCGGCACACGTATGATTTTCTCAACAAAAAAAAAAAGTGAGGGAGATTACAGTCATTTCATGATTTCTTTGGATGTTCAGTTTCTAAACTAGTCGTGTTATGAGAACTGTCGAATTTGCATTTTGTGAAGAATCTCACGGACACAAGGCAGGGGCCACTATTGGGCTTAACGAGAATTTGGAAATATTGCAAAAGGTGAAATGTAACAAAACTTCATTTCACGATGTCATAATTTGTCATTAGTTTCTTCATTTTAATTTGAAAACACTTTAATTTGTTCATGCTGTCTGGCATTAACAGGAAACCGTGGATTTGTTTCAACGAGTTGAATCTTTGAAGCAAAGAAGTTGAAGTGCAGCATGACGCAGATTTAGCTGATTGGAAGTTCGATATAGAAGATAATTTATCTGATGTCGATAAATCTTCTTTGCCCTCATGATATTGATGAATTGCCATTTTTAGATAAAATGGATTCTTGGGAGGAGGATATACTTATCCCTGTTTGATACAGATTCTTTAAAACTTATTTTTTCTCAAACTCGTTTTCAATCATATATTTCTAAATAAAATGATTTTGCACGTGGACTCATAATTTTTTCTTACTTTTTAATTATAATACCATGTATTTCCAACAAAACATGCATGCATTATGTGGCTTTTTTGGTCACCAGCTGTTTGGGGCTAAACTAGTTTGAGGATTCAACTTTATTCTGCACACAAGGATAACTTGCAGTTCCGAGCACCTTTTCAGAGATCTAACAGGCAAAAAATGGTTTCACACTTTCACATTCCACATTTATGTAGAAGGAAGGGTTTGCTGTTGAGATGAAAATCTACATCAATATATAAGGGTTTGTACTACTTTTCTTAAAAATGTTGATCTTTTAAGATGGAACACCAAGTCTTAATATTCAATCCGATTAAAACTCAAAAAATGAGCACGTAAATTTCAAAATTGGTTGGCTCAAACGAGCCACCATCTTGCGGGAGTATTTTAAGGGATAAAATCTCATATCGAATAAAGATGAAAATATATACCAACATATGAGAATTTGAATTATTCATTTTAATAAGGTTGATATTTTAAAATGGAATTTCAAGTCTTCATAGTTTCTTCATCGTGTTGTGACATTGTAGTTATATCCTCTTGAAGGAGAAGTAGAAATAGAGAATCCATTAGTTGGCCAAATTCGTAAAATGTCAATATGTTCTAATCCTATCAAGTACGGTTCAATCTGACTTGATGTACTGTAAATTGTTGGTAAGGTTGCATTAATCTGCAAATTGCAGACAATTTAGAATGGAAATGCATTTTCCCACTGTTCATTAAGAGGGAGTTTTAAATAGTTAAGAATAATCATAGTGTACCGAATTGTTGCTGAGTGCAGAATCGAACCAGTACATATGCGTTGCTTTCCTATCCAACGGCCCCAAGGTGTTAGTTTCATTATTTTTGCCGAGTTATCAGATTTACAACTTAAATAACGATGAGTTACCAAATTAAACAGTTATGCTTTATGAGGTATACAAAGACACTAGTCCAATCGTGTGTAGTGCAATGTACAGCCCTACATGTATGCCTTACAAGAGCTTTATAGCATCAGCCCTGCTAGAAAAACATGGCCAAATTCCAGGCCCTTTCACCTCAGCGCCCTCACATTCGAGGGGGAAGTCAGCTCCCCCTCCAATTACAGGGCGCCACCACGATGCCTTGTCACTTGTCCCGGTCATTGAGTCGGGACAAGCAGCTTAATTCTTATAGCATATATCATTAAAGGTTGTACGTAGTAGAACCTAATACGCAAAGAGCATGACTCGTGATGAGATATGCCATTTGTTGATGTGCAAAATCATTAAGCTGCCACAATCATGCAAATGAAACTACCCAAATAGCAAAAATCAGCACAGCAAGTGGAGAGGATTTATAACAAAATATTTTAGCTTCTATTGAAAAATTTAAGTGTACATGGCAACACTATTTGTACTATTTCTCTCATTGACAAGGTGGAAAGTATTCTCAATTGCAAAGTATTAAAAAAGATATACTATAATTGCCTATACTAGAAGACTCTGATTAGAATTTTTATAAATTTACGAGACAAATGATTACAAAGGCTAACTTCACATTTGTTAATAGTAGGCACTGCCTTCGCAAAACTCGAGAACACTACAGAAAATCAGGAAGAAGTTAGGAACAAAGTCTTCATATTTTGACAACTGGAAAATGAAGTTTCACTTGTTTGGTCAAACCTCTACATTATTACATTGTCCCTGGAATCAGTTAGAATCCTCAACCTTAGAACTGTTTTTGTGAAGTCACTACAAAATCCATAGAGAAAATGTTTTTGTCATAAATTTAGGAAATAAGCTGATGCAACATATTATAACATTGAGACCGTATAAATAGAAACTACAAACACGAACCTCCTGGAGGGTTCATCGCCAAATTGCCTAACCCTACCTATATATGTCTTCAAGAAGAACATGGTTCAACAACTCAGAACCATTATAATCAAGAATATTGTCCAACATTGTGCAAAGTTCTTCATAAGAACCGAGTAATGTAAGGTTGAGGGTGCAACCTATATCCTCGAATTTCATGAAAACCTTATAGTGACTATTAGTCTAACATGAGATGAAAGCCTTCTATTAACAAGTGCTATGATCCATAGTGTCAACATATATCACGACCATATCCATCAAAAGTATTTTTCATCTTGTTTGCAGTGCCATTCGAAAAGCTATTTCCAACCAATTTGTTACTCGGTAAGTATTGGTTGACCAAAATGCACAAATGATGACATATTCCCACTATCTGAATTCTTTGATGATGGGATTGAATTTCCAGTATTTTGAAAACAGGAAGCATTCTTATTGTTTGTTGTGTTTTATAAGGGTTTGATCAAGCAGCTTAAAATCAACTTGAAAAAAATTCGACTGCAATTAACTGAGGGGGAGATTGGATAATGATTTATTGTATCGAGCATGCCTAGCTCCCGGTATGCTACAAGGAGTGTTGTCTAGAACATAATCAAATAGCTTGCTAGACTCGAATAGGTGCCCATAGTAAAAATATGGCATAGGAAGTTGATCATTTGACTATCTCAATGTTTCCTTTGTGGTGAGGATGGAGATAGAGTGATGAACATGTTTGAAATTGAACCCACCAACCAAGGGATAACACGTTTCACATTTCGAAACAGATTTGGCTCATCCCATGTTACTTGCAATGATTAACTTTAATTAAGATATGAGTATAACAAAAGAAGTTGAGATTATCGAATTTTTTGGCATTTCAATCAAAAATATTTTCATAATCACTCAAAGAAAGATAAAATTTATCAACTTTAAGACATAATTATGAAATGATACTCCGTCTGACAATTCAATTGGAATCCACTAAAGCTACCAAGAGAAAAACATATTGGGAATTATTACGAAAGGAATTTATAAATCTTATATTAGAACTCTCTAAATATAGTTTTGCTCCCTCGAGCTCTCTTAACTCTCAAACAAGTTCATTGTCACTTGCTTAGCCAACATGGATGGTTACCTTTTATACTTTTGCCTCCAATAAATAGACACTGAATATCAATTCTCTTCTAAGGTAGAAATTGATTCTCTAGAACCCTTTTTCCCTCAAAATGTAGGATATTTATAAAGAACTCTGTGGAGAAAGTTGTCTCTAAAACTTTCTGCACATTATACATCGTTCCTGCATAATAATCCTACACCCTATACAACATTCTAGAATGCATATTCAAACTATTTGTGCGGAACACGGCCTATAGTCTCTCACACAAGGTTGTAAATTGTTTTTAGAGTATTCTACAACACAATTCCATTGAAACATCAAATAAAACCCCTTTGTCCCATCTTCAGCTTCATAGCATTTTACGACAATTTCACTTTTTGGCTCAGCTCTTAGGCTCTCTGCCATTGACTCTATGCCTTTAGTTACCTCGTCACCTTCTTTCGAGGTTTGAACATGACATGATGCTCGACATGAATTAGTCAACTAATGTGAATGCCCAACTTCTTGTTAGATTTTTTTCAAATTTATTTGGTTCATAAAGAATCACTTTCTTGACCTATTCACAAGTTTATTAGTCAAATAAAAACACAAATCACCAATTAATTCAACTTTTGTTAATAATTGCAACCAGACCTTTAATGATAATCTAAAGCAGTCTTACACGCAATATGAAAAAAATTCTTAGTTTTTCTCCCAATATATTCATTTTCAACACTAGTAATAATAAAAAAAGCAATGGCTAAGAAAGCAAGCTTTTGTCGTAACAATGTTTCACGTGCGGTATAGGACATATTATATTTGTCTTGATAGCATGTTCGTCAATAACATACAAAAAGGGACTTTAATTTAGATTTTTTTCGCAATACCCGTATCATCTACCTTACCAAACAATCAACCACAAATTTATGCCCGACAATCAACCACAAATTTATGCCTGTTTGTCTGATGTGCAAGTGGAATCATACAGCTGCCACAATCATGCAAATGAAACTATACAAATAGCAATAAATCAGCAACAGGAGAGGATATATAACAAAATGTTAACTTTTACTTAACAATTCAACTATACAAGGCAAAACCATTTGTACAATTCTCTCATCCCTTTTGAACATATAGAAAATGATTTCTCCAATAAATTAATAAAAAAGGGTATCCTAGAACTGTCTTCATAGAAGACTTTGATTAGCATTATTACATATAAGAGACAAATGACTACAAAAGGCAAGTTTGCACTAGTTTATTGTAGGTACTGCATTGGCAAAACTCAAAAGCATTACAGCAGAACATACTGCCCCCGAACGTGCCTGAAAACACTAACATTTTCATAAGACTTAAGTTGAATATTCCGGGAATAAAACTTCCTCCATGATGCCCACAAGAAGGAAAGAATTAGGGTCAAAGCCTTCATATTTTCAGCCGTACATTGAAAATTGGAGATGTCACTTATTTGGTCAAAACCTCACAATCCTACATTGTCACTGCTCGAATTCATTAGAATCCTCAACCTTCGAGCTTTTTTCGAGAAGTCACTGCAACATCCACTTAAAAAAGTTACAAATCGATGAAAAACTTAGAAAATAAGTTGATTCAACTTAATATAAATCAATGTCATATAAATGGAAAATAAGAAGTCAACTCACCTAAAGGGTTGATCGCCAAGTTGCCTAATTGCACCCGTCACATCCCGGTAGTGAACGTGGTTCATGATCTCAATACTATCAATATTAAACATGCTTGTCAACTTTCTGCACAGTTCTTCATAGGAACCGAGCAAAGAAAGGTTGACAGTGCGACCTACGTCCTCCGATTCCATGAAAACTTTACAGTGACTAGCCTCTAAGTTGGGCTCGGGATGAAACCCTTCACTTAATGATTGCTCTAGCGTGCCATGTCGATGTACAACATGACCACTTCCATCAAAAGTATTTTCCATCTTATCAGAATTGCCTTTCGAAGAGTTGTTGCTCTGAGAAATTTGTTGCTCGGTAAGTATTGGTTGACCAAAAAGTAGAAATGGAGTTGTCTTGCCATTATCAGAATTCTTTGAAGCTGGGATTGAGTTTCCCATAATTTGCAAACAAGATACCTTCTTATTACCGGCAGGATTTGTTGTGTTTTGATTGAAGCATCCCTTGGGTATAGCAGTTTGATCAAGAGGTAGAAAATCAACAGGAAAGAAACCCGACTGCAGTTTACTGAGGTAGAGATCTGATAAAGATAAACTGTATTGAGCATGCCTGGCTCCCTGCATGCCAGCAGGAGTGTTGTCGGGAAGAAAACTAAAGGTGTTGCCAGACCCGAGTAATTGCTCACCGAAAAAAGTCGACAAAGGAAATTGACCCTTTAGAGGGAACTCAGGATGTTGTGGTAATCTCAATTTCTTCCGTGGTGGTGAGAATGGAGAGAGATGGACGGTGGACATGCTTGAAACTAATTCCACCAACCATGGACTGATGTGTTTCACATTTTGAAGCAACTCGGGTTCATCCCATGTTACCTATAATGATTAACTTGAATTAGCAAATGAATGTAATCGAACGACTACATATTATGAAGTTCTTTGACATTTCATTCAAAGAGCATTTCCATAATCGCTAAACAAAGATGAAGTTCAATTTTAAGACATCAAACATCAAGTGAATCTCGTTTTGAGTTGTCAATTTTCATAATTGGTACCATGACAACAAAATTATGATTTATCTTGCAAGCAAGAAAATGGGAGGCACTAAACGATATCTTGCAATTTCACCCCCGATATTGCTATCACAAATTTCAGATATACGTGACCAATAACATATATATATCAAGTAGAATAGAATCATACAACAATTGAAAGAATAAATACAACAAAGCATTAGTCATATCGAGAACATGAGTACTGAAACTAGTTAATGCACCACTAGAGCTCGCAAGGGAATTGTATGCAAGATTGTTGTGAAATTGCCAAGAAAAGTTTATTATCTGAACCTCAAATCATATCAGAATATGTGCAAAGAGTACAAAACAATTGATAGTAATACCAAGCAAACTTCAATAAAAAAATATAACTCTAACTCGAGTTGCAACTGATAAATGTCTAAAACAAATCATATTACCTGGAGTAGCCGCCAAGGTGAATCAGGCCAGTGAACAGGATCAAAAACCTGAGCAGCGGATATTGTTCCCATGAACCAACTTATACGCGAAGAATCCTCTGTTTCAAAGGCCATTTTGAACCTCATTCCAGAGTACCATTGAATCTGCAGTGCCGTTTTTACAAGAGAAGCCTTCACACAGAACTCCGGAGTGCTAGCTCGAGGATAATAAACCACCTCAAATGGCTGTCCAGCAGCAGCAAGAGTTGCAGCTTCAATTACAGATTCTGCCTTCACTCTTCCCTGGCCAGTCGAACTACCACTCGAATTAAGGTTACCATTTCTTGCCAACTCGTTCTCGCTTTCTATCAGAAATGATGAAAACCCTCCGTACGGCATAGCACTATTACCACATGCTGGATTCCACTCCGTTGGGGTTTCATGTCCACCACCAATTCCTCTCTTTCCTCGCCTAATTCCAACACAAAGGTCCCCATTTTCTGCCCTCAGAAACACGATTGAGTCACCGGCCACAAGCTTCTTATGGTTCACGAATGCACTCCATCCTGTTGTCAAGAGATGACGCCTTGGTGTCCCTCTGTAAATATGTCTGAGTTTCCAGGTAACCCCATGAACATCCTTTGCAAGAATGGTCTGAACCGGAGGATCTGCAGTATAATCCAAACGAGGAAAAAGTGTGTCCGCGCAATATCTAGGTACCGAAAAACCCCCACCATTGTTTGCATCTGATTGTGTTAACGTCTTCGCAAAAGATATGGGCTTGTCTGGGTTCTCTGATCCAGAATTTCCATCAATATCATCATCGTAAAAAACAAACTCATTCCCACTAACAGGAACCAATTGAATTTTCGCAAAAACCTCATCAGTCTCAGGATCTGCCATGAATTTAATTGCAGAAACTCTACAAGGCACATAAGCAGGAATCCTCGGACAACTACTAAAATCTACATTCCCACAAGCATGCTCTGCGTGCCCCTGAGGGAAGTAAAATACCTTCGCGTTCACTAGTGGCATTTGCACCATACTGCCAGCACAGGCATGCCATAATTGAGAATCCAAACATTTCTCAGTTTCCTTCATTTTTTCTTTATATTCCATAATTCTCTCAATTAAATCCGTTCATAAAAAATGTTTCTCTCAATTAAATATGTTTTATATGATCAAAGATAAATTTGGGAGTTCAGATGCAGAATCAAGAAATAAATAAATTTAGCTCAACAAATTTCAATTCCTTACTCGTCTTGTCAGGCAAGGAAGCTCATCAGCAAAATCACCAGAAAATACATAACTTTCCCAGGAAGATCAACTGTAATCTTCAGCAAAAAATTAAGTCCTGAACTCCAAAAGTTCTTAAATTGAACACAATTTCAATAAATTCAATTTACAAAATCCTTACTTTCTTTAATTTGACTGTAAAGAGAAAAACCCACAAATTTTCCAAGAAAATCGACTAAATTTTGACGCGCAAAACCACACCTAAAAAAGATTTTAACTCCTACTCCCACCAAATTGAAGCCCTTTCTATCAATTCTCCATTCTTTCAGTATTCAGGAAAAACCCATCCCCTCTGAATCCATGTACAAAAAATATATATATATAAAAAGAAAACCCAAAAGAAAAGACCCTTCCCTTCGATGAAATATCTCTTTACTTCAACTCTTATTTCTCTTTTGTTTACAGCGAACTCAAAATCACACTGGGATACGTAACGTAAGCCCCTCTCTTCTCTCTCCACCTTTATCTGTTTCTCTCTAATAGACACGCATTTATGTATTTGTATGCACATGGCGTGTGTGCGTGAGAAGATGTAAAAGAATGGAAATGATACAAATATGTAAAGTCAGTTCACACGCGTACACAAAAAGCCTAGGGGCTGTTCTCTTCGTGTTTTAGTTTTGTGTTTTGAGTTTTGATTTCATTTTGTGTTTTGTGTTTTGAGTGTCTGTTTTGAAATTTCTGAAAATGCGTTCTTTTCGTCATTTTCTTTAATTTGACTGTAAAGAGAAACCCACAAATTTTCCAAGAAAATCGACTAAATTTTGACGCGCAAAACCACACCTAAAAAAGATTTAATCTTTAACTCCTACTCCCACCAAATTGAAGCCCTTTCTATCAATTCTCCACTCTTTCAGTATTCAGGAAAAACCCATCCCCTCTGAATCCATGTACTAAAAATATATATATAAAAAGAAAACCCAAAAGAAAAGACCCTTCCCTTCGATGAAATATCTCTTTAATTCAACTCTTATTTCTCTTTTGTTTACAGCGAACTCAAAATACACTGGGATACGTAACGTAAGCCCCTCTCTTCTCCTCTCTCCACCTTTATCTGTTTCTCTCTAATAGACACGCATTTATGTATTTGTATGCACATGGCGTGTGTGCGTGAGAAGATGTAAAAGAATGGAAATGATACAAATATGTAAAGTCAGTCCTCACGCGTACACAAAAAGCCTAGTTTTACAAATACTTTTCCGATGTGCGGATTAAAATCAAGATTTCAATTTAATTTGATAATTAATAATTAATTTTAATGGCATATTTTATACATTTCACAATATTTCAATCACACATTTTATTAATTTTTATTAAAATCTACTAAAAATCGTACTTTAATCTCATCAAACATGGCTAAGATTTTATCTGTTATTTTAAATCTTTCTTAGCTATTTCTTCGGATCTGATGTAGTTTGAGAAGTCAACATAGCAACAAAGATCTCAAAGCAAGCTAATCCATTTTAAACTTCCAACTTGTTTGGTATTATCCCACTAAACGAGACGGGGTGATACCAAACAAGAGAGATGCTGACAACCAAACAAAATAATAAATAGCTTTTTAAATTTCTATTGTTTAATATGTTATGAAAGTGGATTAAATTCATCAATGACTATCCAACTTTATACTTGGTATTATCATGAACATCCAATTTTATACTTAGTGTCACTTGACTACCCAATTTGATTATATTTCCTCATGATCATCCAATTTCATATAACGTTTTATCATGGCTATCAAATTTCATATAACATTTCATCATGACCGTCCAACTTCATTTCACAATTTTCATTAGTTTTAAAAATGGGTAAAATTGTAACTTTATATTATATATATAATATAATTTTAAAAAATTAAAATTAAAGTTTATTTTAAAAATAAAAAATAAAAACTTTTTTTATAAAATAAAATAAAAAATTATTTGAAAAAACATTTTTAAAATAAAATAAAATAAAAACATATTTAAAAAAAGTTACTTAGAAAAATAAAATAAAATAAAAACCTATTTTTAAAAAAAGTTGTTAAAATAATTTTTTAAAAATTTATTTTATATGTATAATACAAAGTTATCGTTTTATCCCTTTTAAAATTAGTGAAAATTGTGGGAAAAAATTGGGTGGTATGATGAAATGTTATATAAAATTAGGTGATCATGATGAAGCGATATATAAAATTGGGTGTTCATGGTAAAATAAAATCAAATTAGATGGTTATGATAACACTAAATATAAAGTTGAATAATCATGATGAAATACAATCAAATTTGGTGATCATGTTGACACTAAGCATAAAGTTGGGTGGCCATCAGTAGATTTAACCATATGAAAGTAGAATAATAAGAAATATAAAAAATAATAAACATATTCTCTTGCTGGATAAATTAATGAAGTTGATTAGCTTAATGAATAATTTACATATCCTAAGATCTTGAAAAAACCAAGGTATTGTGTTGAGTGGCAAATTTGGTGGGACCAGTGAGTGGCAAATCCAAGAAATTAGAAGTGACAACTATTCTTCCACCACGAAAATGTTCTCCTGCCCGCGTGAAAACAGCAAAGAGAACAGGGCCCTAGTTTTTCAAATGAGTAATGCTACTTGCAGTCGCTCACTGTATCAGTCATCTTGTGTGGCACAAACATGTCAAGTGTGTATTTGATGCATTAATGTGATAATTTTTGACCACATTAATGCATTAAATAACTACATATCATGTGTGTACCACATAGAGCGACTGCAAGTAGCATTACCCTTTTCAAATACTTTTTGTTTTGCGGATTAAAATAAAGATTTTAATTTAATTTAATTATTAATAATTAATTTTAATTACATATTTTATACATCTCACAATATTTCAATCACACGCTTTTATTAATTTTTATTAGAATTTACTAAAAATCTTACTTTAATCTCATCAAACAGGGCTAAGATTTTATCAGTTATTTTAAATCTTTCTTTGCTATTTCTTCGGATCTGATATAGTTTGAGAAGTCAACATAGCAACAAAGATCTCAAAGCACGCTAATCCATTTTAAACTTCCAACTTGTTTGGTATTATCCCACTAAACGAGACGGGGTGATACCAAACAAGAGAGATGCTAATCCCGAGACAACCAGCTTTATTCACCAAATAATAAATGGCTTTTTAAATTTCTATTGTTTAATATATATATAATTTTAAAAAATTAAAATTAGAATTTATTTTTAAAAAAAAGTAACTTAGAAAAATAAAATTAAAAAAGGTTCCTTAAAAAATGAAATAAAACAAAAACCTATTTTTAAAAAGTTTTTAAAATAATTTTTTAATTTATTTTATGTGTATAATACAAAGTTACCGCTTTATTCCTTCTAAAATTAGTGAAAATGGTGAAAAAATTGGGTGACCAGATGAAATGTTATATGAAATTAGGTGATCATGGTAAAACGTTATATAAAATTGGGTGTTCATGGTGAAATAAAATCAAATTGATTGGTTATGATGACACTAATTATAAAGTTGAGTAATCATGATGAAATAAAATCAAACCGGGTGACCATGTTGACACTAAGCATAAAGTTAGGTGACCATAAGTAGATTTAACCATATGAAAGTAGAATAATGAGAAATATAAAAAATAATAAACATATTCTCTTGCTGGATAAATTAATGAAGTTGATTAGCTTAATGAATAATTTACATATCCTAAGATCTTGAAAAAACCAAGGTATTGTGGTGAGTGCCAAATTTGGTGGGATCAGTGAGTGGCAAATCCAAGAAATTAGAAGTAACAACTATCATTCAACCATTTATTTAATTTTACATATGGGCTTGCATTTTTTTCTCGGATAAAACTATTTGTACGTAATTTTCTTTATCGAAAATGTTACACCATCTCACATGTGCGGGGGCCGCGTGAATAAAAACTCCCAGAAATGTGGTCACGACATCCTATTGTGAATATAGGTAAACGATTAGGTAAAAAAATTATGTACATATAGCATTGCCCTTTTTTCTCATCAGCATTTGTCATGTCATTTCTGAAAATTGAAGAGGAGATCTATTCAAGAAAGAAAAATATTAAAAAATTAATTTTAATTGCAAATGAAAGATTTATTTCATTATTTTGTTAAATTACACTATTGCTGTTAACATATATACTGCAAACACGGACTAATATTTTATGGAATGATTATGACAACTCACATTATTATTTCGTAAACTAGTCCGGCAAGGCATAAAGAAAGGGACTAATGAACCATGTAAAATTAGCTGCAAATGGACCCTACCCTAGTGGACATATATATAAGGTCATACAGAGTATGTACGCATATAAAAAGAGTGGTTAGGACGAGAAAAAACAACACTAAAAGCGACATTGAGCAAAATTCTAGTCCTTACTCCTCTTTACGACTCGAGAAACATTTAAATCTATGCCGTTTACCATTCCCCGTGTCATTAGGGTCATGACAATGTGGGACGAGGAATTTTTTCAGATGTCACATTGACTTTTAAAAACCCTTCTAATGAGAAAAAAATATTTCAAAAAGGAAAAATTGTAATCTCAAACTTAATCATTTTCCTATATGTAAGTCATTATCCATCTTGCCACATTATCTCAGTGCACCTCATTGCGTCTAGTGTTATGTCACTTTACAACATAACACAATGACACGTATATAGCTTGTGTGTAATTAAGAGAGTAAAAGTAGATTTTAAGTGCTAATTGAATATGAAAATTCAAAAGTCACACAGTATATTGACAACTACAAGACAATGAAAAGGGCATGAACAATTTTGTGGCCCAAAAGTCGACTTGTATAGAGTGAG